TCAGGACAAATCTTTGTCACCCGCCAGTCCCACAGCCGCTCAGACCCAACCAAGTAAACACAGAGACTTATATTGCTTACAAACTGTATGGCCATGCCAGGCTTCTTGTTAACTGTTCTTATATCTTAAATTAATCCATTTCCATAAATCTATACCTTGCCACATGGCTCGTGGCTTACCGGCATCTTCACATGCTGCTTGTCATGGAGGTGGCTGGCAGTGATCCCTTCCACCTTCCTGTTCTTTTTCTCCTCTCTGTTAGTCCCGCCTATACTTCCTGCCTAGCCACTGGCCAATCAGTGTTTTATTTATTGACCAATCAGAGCAATTTGATATACAGACCATCTCACATTTTTATCCAGCGCTGTAGTTAGCCAAAACAGAGGCGGATGTGCCAAAGCCAAGCCAAGCACAAGGAAACAGTTCAAGAATCAAACAGTATCCAGAAGTCAGGTTGTCAACGCCAAGGAAGGTAAAGTTTACACAGCCAAAAACGTCACCAGTAATTGGCCCAAGGGCCAAGTTCATCGGTGGAGCTGGACCAGCGGAGTGGGAAAGAAGGCCAGGGAACTTCAGAAGCGGGCAAGCTACCAGCTCCACCTCAAGCTGCTGGCCTGGCTGACACTCAGATTCTAGGAATTTGGGGATAGCAGTGACTGACACAGGAGCCATGAATTGTTGTTTGTTTGGCTGCTCAGGTTGACCTTGAACTTGCTCTGTAGCCGAAGATGATTTTAAACTCTTGGTCTTCCTGCTTCCATCTTCTGGGTGTGGACGACACCATGCCTAGCTTTTATCTCCATTTTCTTTTCATTTTTATAAACTTGATTTTAAAAGCCTGGGAATAAAATAGACAAGTACCAAATCCATTTTTTAAAATAATTATTTATTATTATTTTATGTGTTTGAGCGTTTGCCTGCACTGTTTTCCGTGTGTGGATGTTAGCCTGCACAGACGTATGTACCACATGGGTTCTTGATACTGGCGGGAGTGAGAACACTGGAGTTACAGATGGCTGTGAGTCACCTGGGAACCAAACCCGGGTCCTCTGCAAGAACAGCAGGTACTCTTAACTGCCAAGCCATCTCTCTAGGCCCTGCCTGGATCCATTTTTTGGTTTTTTGTTTTGTTTTGTTTTTTGTTTGTTTTGTTTGTTTTTCGAGACAGGGTTTCTCCGTGTAGCTTTGGTGCCTGTCCTGGATCTCGCTCTGTAGACCAGGCTGGCCTCAAACTCAGAGATCCTCCTGGCTCTGCCTCCCGAGTGCTGGGATTAAAGGCGTGCACCACCACTGGCAGGCCCCTGGATCCATTTTTAAGTGAAGGCTGAAGCAGGAGTAGATTTGGGTGGCGATCAGAACCGGAACGATGTGGAGGGGAAGATAACTCAACTACTAGTGTGTGTTGCACAGGCACAAGGAACTGAACTGTGATTTCTAACGATCCCTGCACTGAGGAGGAAAAGACAGGCTGATCTTAGAGCTCACTCACCAGCCAGACTACCCAGTCCGTGTATTCCACGTGAGTGGAGAAACATTGCTCCTCCCACCCCCCAAAACGTGACGTCCAGGGGCTTCTGAAGAATTGGTTCAGTGGCCGAGAACATTTGTTGCTTTTACAGAGGGCACTGGTTCGGTTACCAGCACCCACATGGGCGCTCACAACCACCTACACCTCTAGTTCCAGGGGTCCTGTTAGCATTCAGACCTGCCCCTTAGGGTCCTGCCCAGCGTCCTGACCATGACGTCATCTGACGTAAAGTCCTCTTTAAGAGAAAACCCCTCCCCTTCTCTTTCTCTTCCTCTCTCTTGCCAACAGGGCACGCACCTCCTGCTCTCTGTCTCTATCTGTCTCTGTCTCTCTCTTCCTTTCTCCCTCTCTCTTTCCCTCTCTTCCTTTCTCCCTTCTCCCTTTAATAATAAAACTTTTCACGTGAGCGCTATGAAATGAAGTGAGTGACTTTTGTCCCTGCTCCTTGGCCCAACCCACTAAGGCCGCCTACAACAGATCCAATACCCACTTCTGACTTTTGAGGGCACCAGGAACACACAGGAGATACAAACATACATATATACAGGCAAAACACATAGAATAAAAATTAAAAAACAAAAACAAAAAACAGACAGGGTTTCTCTGGAACTTGCTTTATGGACCAGGCTGGCTTTAAATTCAGACATCTACCTGTTTCTGCTTCCTGAATGCTGAGATTAAAGGCATACATCACCACAACTGGCTAATTTTTTATGAGGTTAATCTCTGGCCTGGAGAGGCGCCCACATGGGCATGCATCCATATGCACATGTATACACACACACACACACACACACACACACACACACACACACACACAAATTCCCCATGCAGGAACTAGAATGCTAGTCCCAAGCTTTTCTATTTATGTAAATTTGATCTTTCTTTTTGCTATGGAAACACACCAGTTAAAGAAGGCTTCTGATTTAATTTGCTTCTCTGTTGCTGTGATAAAACACTGCCAAGAGCAACTTGGAGAGGAAAGGGTTTATTTGGCTTACAGGTTCCAGGCCATCATCAAGGGAACCAAGGTAGGGCCTCAAGGCAGGAGCTTGAAGTAATAATAACCATGGAGGAACACTATTGACTGGCTGGCTTCCAGCTCACATTCGGCTATCTTTCTCATACACCCCAGGACCACCTGCCCCGGAGTGACACCTTCCACAGTGGGCGGGGCTCTCCTCCATCAATTAGCAATTAAGAATCTGCCCCGCAGACCAACCCGATGGAGGCGATTCCTCGGGTGAGCTTCCCCCTCTTTCCAGGGGTCTCTAGTTTGGGTTGATAAAAATTAACCAGCACACAACATGGCGGAGTCAGTTCTATTACAGGATATGGCCCCCTTTAGGAGAGGGATCCAGCTGCTAGAATCGGGCTGGGGCTCAGCAGGAGCTAGAAACGTGTGGTGGCACTGTTATCAGGAGTCTAGACTGGGTCAGAGTCGTGGAGGTAAGGCCGGGAGGTCAGAAGATGGACAGGCCTTGGTGGGATAGGGAAGGTCACGGAGAAGTGGATGGAGTCAGAGCCCAGAGCAGGCGCGAGGGGCAGAATCAGTTGGCCGTGCTTCCAGCAGAGTGTTAAAAGGAAGGCCAGGCGGGAGCAAACCAGGATAGGGAGTCAACCCTGTTTCGGAGTTCAGCTCCAGGGGGCCTGGTGACACCCCGAGGAGTGGGGGACATGGGGGGAATGGTGACATGTCCCCATCTGCAAGCAAGATGGCAGGAGCAATGAGAAACCGAGAATGGCGGGTTGCAGAGAGAACACGCGTGGGTGGTGCAGCCTCAGCAGACACACTCGGGGAGGGAGGGGTGGGGGTGGGTTGCATGTGGGAGGAGGGGCTCCCAGACTTGAGGACTGGAGAAAGCGTTAGCAACCTGACAGAACCCTGTTAACAAAGGAAGGACTACATCTCCCAGCATGCTCGGGTTCGGTGGGGTGACGGCGGGCGGTGGCTGCGCCGCATCCGACTGGTGGGCGCGGGACCAGGGTGGGCACCCGAGCCTGTCATCCCTGAGGGGTCGGCGGGGTGCGGGCGGCGATGCACCGCTGTCCCTGGCACCAGGGCCGCGCCGGGCTCTTGTTCCCCGCCCCGCGGCCCCGCCCCTTGCCCCACCCCAGCCGGGAGACCTAGCCCGGGCCGCAGCGCAGCGGCCGCAGCAACATCACTCTCGCCGCCGCTGCTCCGCCCCATCCCCTTCTGTTTTTCTCTCATTCTCCGGTGGCGGCGGCGGGGAAGGCGGAGGAGAGGCGGCAGCAGCCAGCTGTGTCTGCAATGAATGATCCCCCAGCCGGAGGGGAGGACTCCAGGTGAGCCTCTGCCCTCGGGAGGACCGGGATTCCCCGGCCGCCCAGGTCCCGCATCCCCCGCCATGGATCCCTAGGGGAAGGGGAAAAAGGAGGAGGAAAAGACAGTTCTGCCGCCCACCCCCATCTCATTTTCCTCTTCCTTTATCTCATTGTTGCCGAAGCTGTTTACCGTAGCGCTCTCTCTTGCCCCAGCATGGGGCGGGTTCCAGGCGCTGCCCTTGGGCAGGAGCTGCTTGCGCGGTTGCCTGGGGATTCTGCCTAATTTTACCTCTCCAGTCTGTGCACCGAAAGCCGTGGAGAGCAGTGGAGGCCTGGACTGCAGCAGCCTCGGGGCCAACTCCCTGCATCCCCACGCTGGGAGGCTGCATGCGGATTGAAGAGCGGTGTCTGGGGGCTGGGCCAGCCCGGCTGATCCCGACCTAGGAGTAGGACAGGAGGACCGCCCAGGCTGCAGAGCGGCCCATCTGGAAGGACAGAGCCGCAAGATGGCCAGTAAGACCAAGGCCAGTGAGGCCCTAAAGGTGGTGGCCCGGTGCCGCCCCCTCAGTAGGAAGGAGGAGGCTGCTGGTCATGAGCAGATTCTGACCATGGACGTGAAATTGGGCCAGGTGACTCTGCGAAACCCCCGCGCGGCGCCCGGGGAACTGCCCAAGACCTTCACTTTTGATGCTGTGTATGATGCTAGCTCGAAGCAGGCCGACCTGTATGACGAAACGGTGAGGCCCCTGATAGACTCGGTGCTTCAGGGTTTCAACGGCACCGTGTTTGCCTATGGCCAGACCGGCACCGGCAAGACCTACACCATGCAGGGGACCTGGGTGGAGCCAGAGCTCCGCGGGGTTATCCCCAACGCCTTTGAGCACATCTTCACCCACATCTCCCGCTCCCAGAACCAGCAGTACCTGGTTCGCGCCTCCTACTTGGAGATCTACCAGGAGGAGATTCGAGACCTGCTATCCAAGGAGCCGGGCAAGAGGCTGGAGTTGAAGGAGAATCCTGAAACGGGGGTCTATATCAAGGACCTCTCCTCGTTCGTCACCAAGAACGTCAAGGAGATTGAGCACGTGATGAACCTGGGGAACCAGACCCGGGCAGTGGGCAGCACCCACATGAACGAGGTCAGCTCCCGCTCCCACGCCATCTTTGTCATTACGGTAGAGTGCAGTGAGCGGGGCTCAGACGGCCAGGACCACATCCGAGTAGGCAAGCTCAACCTGGTAGACCTGGCTGGCAGTGAGAGGCAGAACAAGGCAGGTCCCAACACCCCTGGAGGGCCGGCCACACAGCCCACGGCTGGTGGCGGCGGTGGCGGTGGTGGCGGCGGTGGCGGTGGTGGCGGTGGCAGCGGAGAGAGGCCTAAGGAAGCCTCTAAAATCAATCTCTCACTGTCTGCCCTGGGCAATGTGATCGCTGCTCTGGCGGGCAACAGGAGCACCCACATCCCCTACCGGGACTCCAAACTGACCCGGCTGCTCCAGGACTCACTGGGGGGCAATGCCAAGACCATCATGGTGGCCACACTGGGTCCAGCTTCTCACAGCTACGATGAGAGCCTCTCCACCCTCCGCTTTGCAAACCGGGCCAAGAACATCAAGAACAAACCCCGGGTGAATGAGGACCCCAAGGACACGCTGCTGAGGGAATTCCAGGAAGAGATCGCCCGCTTGAAGGCCCAGCTGGAGAAGAGGGGGATGCTGGGCAAGCGACCTCGCAGAAAGAGCAGCCGCAGAAAGAAGGCTGTGTCAGCCCCAGCCGGTTACCCAGAGGGGCCAGTGATTGAGGCCTGGGTGGCCGAAGAAGAAGATGATAACAATAACAATCACCGCCCACCCCAGCCCGTTCTGGAGTCAGCTTTGGAGAAGAACATGGAGAATTACCTGCAGGAACAGAAGGAGCGGCTGGAGGAGGAGAAGGCCGCCATCCAGGATGACCGCAGCCTAGTGAGTGAGGAGAAACAGAAGCTTCTGGAAGAGAAGGAGAAGATGCTAGAGGATCTTCGGAGGGAGCAGCAGGCCACAGAGCTGCTCGCAGCCAAGTATAAGGTAAGGATCCCCAGAGGATGAGAGAGGTCCCTACAAGGATTTTGATGGGTGGATTTTCCTTTGAGGGCCTGTGAGGTGGCCTGAAGTGGGGTATGCAGTCTTAATGGGACAGACTGATAACTGTCCCAGAGCAGCTAAACAAAGTCCTGTGGTACTAGGTAGCCAGGTACACTTACATGCATGCACGCACACCAAGCAAACTGGGCAGGTTCTTCAACCAGTGGACTTGAGATGGTCTGACCTGCTGCTGTCCATCTCTGCAAATGGCCCCAGAACTGGTCAGATCTATGAGAGGCCCATGCAGATCTCTCCTCCGGTGAGTGTGACTTCTCATTCCAGCAATGGCCTCCTCCCCTGATACTTTTTTTTTTTTAAACCCCCTCTGAGGTATCTTCAGACCTCATGTCGTATTAATAGTATCTGACGCTTGGATAGCACTTCACAGTTTACAAAATACCACACTTTCATCTTGCCTCGTCTTCACAGGAGCCTTTCACATGGTGGCTTTTAAATCCTCATCCTGTGGATGAGGAATTAAGGCTCAGCAAGTGACAGGACCAAGGTTCCATTCTTCAGAGCTGCAGAGCTGAGCTGGTACCTGCAGGCTTCATGCTTTTAGTCTTCAGTAGCAAGGCCAGACCGTGAGAGCGAGGGAACTCTGCTTCCCGTGGAAATGACCCACAGGAGGACACAGTGCCAGACCTACTCCTTGGTATCATGAGGAAGGGGACTGAGAATGTCGTAGGATGGAGAGAGAACCGGACTCCATCCCAGAGACCTAAGAGTCTAGGCCTCTTAGGCAACAGCTCATTGAGTGACGGGCTGTGTTTTTCCCTTTTCCTCTTACGTCCATTTCCCTTTCTATAAAGTAGGATATTAGCCTGGGGGATCACTGCGGTTCTTCCAGCCTGATAATTCTATGACCCGTATTAATCTGAGAAAAAAGAACAAAACAATAGGACTACACAATGAAGCCTTGTATCAATTATGTCCAGTTCCCCATTGTCCTGAGAGATGTGGGGACTTCAGCATCCTTCCTGAGCTGTCCCCTTCCCAGAGAACCCCTGGCTCTACATGGAGCTAAGTTACTGAGCCAATCATAGACCTGTTAAATTTCTTCCTACTCCCCCCCCCCCACTTCTTTGTAAATAGAATCTCATGTAGTCTAGGTTGGCCTAGAACTCGATGTAGCTAAGGATGACCTTGAACTAATTATCTTCCTGCCTCCATCTTCTGATTGCTAGAATTACAAGCAAGTACCGTCACCATGCCTGGTTTTATGCACAGCTGGAGATCAACCCCAGAGTTTTGTGCATGCTAGATAAACTACCAACTGACCTGCATCCCCAGCTGCCTGCTAAATTCCAGGGCTGCAAATGTCACAACCCAGTGTTCCAGGCATTTCCGGATCCCTGGAGCCTTCAACACTGGGGTTGGAGGAAAAATATGGAGAACCATGAGCTTGCTTGGAAGATCAAACACTGCCATGTCTTATTTCTTCTTGGGAGTGTGGGCTAGGAATGGGGAGGCCCAGCCCACAGCCGGTGGAAGAGCGAGAGCCGAGCTGTGTGCATTGTCTGTGTGCCGGGATGTGCTGCTGCATCAGGAGCGACAGCCTGGCATGTTTAATATTTAATTCACTCATGGAGAAGCTCAACCAGGCTTATTCTGAGCTGCTTCCTCAAGGGGAAGGATCAGGGTCTGGTACCTGGGAGACGCAGGATGTTAAAGGCAAGGCTGCTAGTCCAGGCCTGCCTAGCAAGGAGAGCATCTAACGTGCAGGGTGGTGTTATTGACTGGAAAATCCTAGCTGGTCCATCAGTCATTGATTTCTCTTCCAAGATATCCCTTACCCTGTTAAGCTGGGAGGCAGTGGGGGCCACAGAGGCTAATAAAGGAAGAAAGTGCTGATGGGTATTTCAGGTGTTCTTCTTGGGAACTGACTGGTATCTTTCCATAAGATTTTTTTCCATCGAAGACAATGTAAGAACATAGGTAATGGGATAAGTCTCTTGACTTAATCAGGGTGCAGATGTGCACAGTGGTGTGCATCTGGAGTCCCAGTTCTTTGGAAGACTGAGGCAGAGAAATAGTTCAAGCCCAGAGTTGAGGCCAACCTGGGCAACGTGATGAGACCCCGTTTCAAAAGAAATAAACACACAAGCAGATCAGTCGACCGATGGGTCAATACAAAGACTGGGGTGGCCAGAACTGGAATTCCTACACTAGTTGTATAGCCCATCCATGCAACATTATAATTTTATTGTTGGCAGGGGCCTTGGAGTACCAGTGTAGGGTTGGCTCAGGGTCACACAGCCTGTTTATAAGCAATCTAGCTTCTTTCCATTGTTGTCTACACTCCTGGCAAAGTAATTTGGTGGGTTTTTTCTTCTCTAATTAGTATATGGTAATTATATTGAATTTTTCATTATGCTACTTTAATACATGTATATAATGTATCTTGATTATATTTACCCCTTATACCTTCTCTTCTCCCCCTCCTATTTCCACTGATCCCCTTACGCTTTCCAACCAACACCTCTTCTGCTTTTCCTGTGTGTGTGTTTGTGGTGTGTGTGTGTGTATGTCCCAATGAGTTTCATAAGGTTGCTTTCAAGAGCATAGACCCCTTACTGGTATCTAGACCACTGTGGAGGAGGGGGGATGTCTTCCTCCTTCAGCAACCATTAACTACATGAAAGTAATTTTTTTTTTCAAGACAGGGTTTCTCTGGGTAGCTCTGCACCTTTCCTGGAACTCACTCTGTAGACCAGGCTGGCCTCGAACTCACAGAGATCCGCCTCCCAAGTGCTGGGATGAAAGGCGTGTGTCACCACCACCCAGCGAAAGTAATTTTTTTCAAGGTTTATTTATTTTACCTGTACGTGTGAGCCTGAGTGATGTGCGACATGTGTGTGCAGGAGCCTGCAGAGATCAGTCAAAAGAGGGCATTGGATCCCCTCAAACTTGAGTTGCAGGAAGTTGTGAGGCATCATGGGGGTACTGAGAACCGGACCTGAGTACTCTGGATGAGCAGTTAGCATTCTTAACCACTAAACCATCATCCCGGCTCCAGCAATTTGTTTTTATGTAACACTATAACATCTTAATCTTACTCCTTCAACAATCCCTGGTCATGGACACTGTTTCCATTTGGCAGCTGTGAAAGCCAAGGCTGGGGAGATGTTGGCTTGTCTATGAATCTGGGTAAGTGTCAAAGCCAACATCGGAACTCAGGTCTTCTGATGTCCCCAGCCCTGTGTTCTTTTCCTGTCACCCAAGATTTCTCCATGCTTGCTTCCTATGGGATTCAGGGCAAAGGCTTTTGCCTCTCAGAACCTTGGGTCCCTGTCAGCTAATGAAAAACAGAAGTGTGACATGGATCCCCGGGGGGAGTGGGTGAATTGGCCGTTAGGTACTGGTTATCAGATAGATATAAACTGAGCAGCCTGGGAAATTCCAGGAGAGGAATGAATCCGTATCCTGTGATTTCTGAAACTCCCAGCCCAGGATAATCAGCAGGGATCAAGACTAGAATGGAACCCAGGGAGAGGACCCGATCTTCCTGTGCTGCCCCTAGGGTATAGCCGGGTTCAGCAATGCCCCGGTTCTGCGATGGCTGAAACATTTTGACAGCCACAGGGAAGCTGTAACGTTCCAGTTCCACCTCTTTCCCAGGGTTGCTCTGAAGATGAAATGAGATCATTAGCATGGGGACATTTGAAATAGGTTGAAAACATTGAAATGAATAGCGGGCATTAGTGGCCACAGGGTGCCGTCTGTCTGCCAAGCAGGGGTCCAAGACTGACATCTTTGTTACCCTGATTTTCTAAGTGCATTATCACAACTGTGCGGAGCCAGGCAGGCAAGGTCTCGAGACCTCAGGAGCCTGGGATCGGTCCTTTCTCCATCTGCAATGAACTCTTCCTCTCTCTCTGAGCTAGCCATCACTTCTCACTCTCTGCCCCCTGCCATTTCCTCCAGTTCCTTCCACCCCCACCCTAGGCCAGCTAAGAGTAGCTGAGCCGACCCAGTGCCCCCATTCAGTGTCTGACTCATCTTCCAGTCTGTCTTGCCTGCTTTCCCTGCCTGCCACCCTCAAGGCTCCCCATTCCCTTTGTTCTCTGAATGGGCACAAATACCGTGCCTGTCTCCTCTAAATCTCTCTCTCTCTCTCTCTCTCTCTCTCTCTCTCTCTCTCTCTCTCTCTCTCTCTCTCTCTTTTAGCGTAGTTACTTTGGGCCTCACGACGTTAAGTGTACAGACAGATGTGTGAGTTTGTGACTGTGACCGGTGCCCTGTGTACCATTAATCCTTAGCAAGCCACATACTTAGGTCATCTCTCCAGGGGGCTGAGGGACTTGATAGCCATCTCATCCTATGAAGGAGGAGGAATAAGGGAACATTACAGACTCACAGTGCACAGTCAAGACTCAGCTCTCTGGAACTGCACACACACTGGTGAATGCATATAAAGGAGGCCCTCTCTAGGCAAATTTAACTATGCAAGGAAATTGGGAAGTGATTGTTTTATTTTGAAGCTCACTTTTTTTTTTTTTTTTTTTGAGAGGTTGATACGGATTTCACAAACTTTGAAAGGAAGCTGTTTGAGGTAGGCAGGCCACAAAACCCAGGCTGAAATGGAAGAGGGGCGTGCATATGCAACATTGGGGTGATTCTGCAGGAAGCGGGTCTTCAGAGGGAGGAGCTGGAGCCCGACTCTGGCTGGAGCCCAACTCTCTCTCTGGTGGGTTTAGAAAAGAAACCCTCAGAAACAGCCACCAGAGCCAGAGGGATGAGGTCACTGCAGGGAGGGCCAATCTAACTGAATATTCATTGTCCCCTCTGTGGGTTCCTCGTCTTCCTCCTATGCTGGAGAATGAGCATGTTATCCGCATATCGGGTTAGCAGACAGGAAGTTTCAACCCAAGCATTAACAATCTCAGCAATAATAATGAGGTTTATTGAGATCTGCTTTATGCTAACTATATGCAAATATG